CACACACACACACACACACACACACACACATGCACACGCACACACACAAACAAACTCCCAACAAATGAGTAGTGGTACATGTGTACAACGTAGAGGAGACGCTATCACTCTCCGTGTATGATCTGAAGACACGATATAAAGTCTGTGGACTTGACATAAAATCCACGACAAGAAGAGAACATATCGAAACAGATTAGAAATCATTACTCTTTTAACAAAGACTGTTGGCCTTTACCCAAAATTGTGAACATTGTTGTTTTAATTTTGTTTTACCAAGCCATGCCGTGAACTTTCATGAATGCAACCAACTTGTGTTTCGCGCTCTCATGATATTATGATCTTATCTTATGTAGTTCCGAGCGCCGGTAAACCAAAGATTCTCTAACTACCTTCTGATCTCTTGTAGAGAATGGTTAAACTCCTAATCCTAACTACTCTTTATCTCAGGCAAGCCACTCCCAGCCCTCAGCAGCTCTCGATTGGAACTGCTGTGCCGGTGAGCTGCTGGCAGCGGCTAGGGCACATTCCATTCGACTTCGACATCAAATTACAATGTACTTTTCGGCAACTGAAAACAGGTCTCTTTTTATCGGGATTTAATTCTTTAGAATTAGACCAAGAACTATTGAAATAGATTCACTCGTGATTTAATTATCAATTTAGTGACGTTTTCGTCATTTTTAGATCTAGTGCTGAAAAGGGGCCTCGGCATGATGGGTTTACCTCCCACGGAGATAAAGAGTGCATTAAAAATTATTTTTAAAAATCAGCACTTTTAACAAGGGACGTAATATGAGAATTCTAACCCAAAACGCCCCTATCCACGACTTACCTCCCGTATCGGCGACAAGGCTCTCAAGCGTCCTCGGTTCCCTCGACCTCGGTTGTGTGAGTCCATATCGTACAGATACAACCTGCAACATATAAAACAGGCATAGAGGCGTCAGTTAAGTGAGTCCATATCGTACAGATACAACCTGCAACATATAAAACAGGCATAGAGGCGTCAGTTAAGTGAGTCCATATCGTACAGATACAAGCTGTCAACATATAAAACAGGCATAGAGGCGTCAGTCAAGTGAGTCTATATCGTATAGGTACAAGCTGTCACATATAAAACAGGCATAGAGGCGTCAGTCAAGTGAGTCTATATCGTATGTGGTTCTGTTCTATTGAGAGCCACACCGACTC